TGTTCTGGTAACTGTTTTCTTTTCTCCTGAACCATCTAACAACTGTACTGTATATACGTTATTTTCACGTTTTTCAAATACTTTGTATGGAGTTGAGTTCCAATGATCTTGAATCTTGTTTCTGCCCAAAATGTGATTCTTCAGTAACACTATGGATCCTACTGGAATAGGTTTTTCATGTGCGTTAGCATTATAACGATCTCTTCTATTCTCAGCATTTTTCTCTATGTTATCTGAAGCTAACTTCATCATATCCTGCATTTTCTTGTTATGCTCTAGAATCCAGTCATCCACACCTTCCTGATTCTCCTCTGAATTTAAAAGCAAGTCTATCGGTAAACGTGGGTTTCGTCCGAACATTAAATAGTATGGCGACAAACCTGTAGATGCATGTGGAGTTGCATTGTAGATGTATGTCATCTCAGCTAAATAATCAGGCCATCGCTTTTTCTTCTCAGGTGGTAAAGTTTTTAATCTGTCATGCAACGTATGATTATATCGCTCACATTGTCCATTCCCAATGGCGTGATAGGGAGTCGTCCTCGACTTTTGAATGTTATAGATCTTGCACAATTCCTTGACTACATCACTTTCGAAATTCCTTCCTCTATCAGAATGAATACGATGAGGTATGCCGAATTTGAAAAACCAGTCTTTCACCAATACTTTTGCCACTGTAACTGCCTTTTGGTTTGGGGTCACTATAGCTTGTGTAAACTTTGTAAACACATCTGTTACGATAAGCACATTTTCTTTTCCATCACTAGATTTCTCGAGGAGAGTAAAATCTATGGCAACAATTTCCAATGGCTTATGAGCTATCAGACTTCCAATTGGCGGTCTAACAGTTGGTGTAGGAGCCTTGGCAATCATACAGCGCTCACATTTCTTGATCCAATGTTGAATGTCAGAATACATTCCTGGCCAAAAACACCTCCTTTTCACGAGTGCGAAAGTTCTCTCAATTCCTTTATGACCAGAATAATTATGCAGAGAGTCCAATACTTGATATTTCAAGGATTCTGGAAGTATTAACTGTAAAAATTCTCCCTCTGAGTCTTGACATTTCTTGTATAGAACACTATCTTTGAGAACTAGTTTGTCCCATTTATGCAGTAGTTTTCGTGCAATGGGTGGTTCCTTCCCGATTAATCTCAATGTTGGTTTATGTCCTTTCTTTAACCACGATAAAACAGCAGCCAACGAAATGTCTTCCAATTGTAATTTTGCAAGCTCTTCCTTGGAAAATTCTGGAAACATCTTAGTTGCTGTAAACTCAGAATCATCTTTTGATTTTTCCTTAGACTGCAGGCTCTGAACATCAGTTAACGTTGTACTTTTCACCAAATTGGTAAGAATTTCTTCTGAATATACATGTTCTGTTTTATCTGCACCCCATGCCACTGACATTTCCTCAGTTGAAATGGATTCTACATGAACTGTTTTTCTACTAAGTGCGTCAGCATTCCTATTTGAACGTCCTGATCTGAACATGATCTCAAAGTCAAATTGCGCCAGTTGAGCAGCCCATCTCATTTCTACAGATCCTAACTTAGCAGTCTTAAAATGGCTCAACGGATTGTTGTCGGTGTAAACAACGAATTTTCCTCCTATCAAATAGTCTCTGAATTTTTCTGTTATAGCCCATTTCAAACTAAGTAGTTCAAGTTTCATAGAACTGTAGTTAGACATATTTTTCTCTGTTGGACGAAGACTTCTGGAAGCGTATGCTATGACAACACGTCCTTTATCCTGATCTTGCGATAAAACTGCGCCTAACCCGTCGTAACTTGCATCAATTTCCAAGATGAACTGTCTCTTGAAGTCCGGGTATCCCAAGATAGGAGTTGTCGTAAGTGCTTCTTTCAACTTCATAAATGCATGATCACAGTCTTCATTCCATCTCACACAAAATGAACCATCTACCGTTTTTATCCTTGTTCGCTTGGTTTTCTTCTCCTGTTTGGTAAGGATAGCATGTAATGGGGCAGCTATTTTACTAAAGTTCTTCACAAATTTTCGATAGTACGAACATAATCCTAAGAAAGAACGCAATTCCTTCTCAGATTTTGGTTTAGTCCAAGTAGTGATGGCGGATATTTTGCTGGGATCAGTTTCAATGCCTTTACTGGAAATTTTATGTCCCAAATACTTGACTTCTTGTTTGAAGAAATGGCACTTCTTTGGATTAATTTTCAAGCCGTGTTTGGTCAGTCTTGAAAATACAAAATCAAGTCTTTCTAGGTGTTGTTCAAAAGTTGATGAGTACACCAAAATATCGTCTAAGTATATCAGTAGAAACTCAAAATTCTTGTCTCCAAGACATGCTTCCATCAAACGTTGAAAAGTTCCTGGACTGTTACACAAACCCATAGGCATTCTAATGTATTCGTATAATCCTCCGGATCCTATACGGAATGCGGTCTTTGGTATCGACTCGTCATCTAAAGCGACTTGATAGTAACCTTGCGCTAAATCAATGGTGCTGTAATACTTTGATCCACATAAAGCATCCAATGACTCTTCAATTCTCGGTAAGGGAAAAGCATCCTTAACTGTCTTTTGGTTAAGACGACGAAAGTCTACACATAAACAAAGTGATTTATCCTTTTTCCGAACCAATACAGCTGCAGCTCCGTATGGACTAGTACTTGGTCTAATTACTTGCTGATCAAGGAACTTCTGAATGAGCTGTTTTACTTCTTGCATCATGTGGGGTGGTACCCGTCTATGTGGAACAGCGATGGGTTTGTTATCAGTCAGTTCTATGTGGTGCTTTACTGTGGCTGTAAATCCTAAGTCGTCTTCATCTTTGCAAAATGCTGCTTTATGTTTCTGCAATAAGTGTGCAAGTTTTCGCTGTTGTTCACTACTAAGAGTGGTATCTATATCAAAGTCATGTCCGTGTAATTTGATCTTTTCATTTTCATGTTCGGTAATATTTGAATCTATTTCTGTCTCTCCATCAATTTGGACTTGAATTTCATTATCCTTCACTGTCACTTGAACAGAATTATGTAAGGAATCTGCTATTTCTGCTTCTTGAACTGTCCCAATCCTCGTCTTAGGATTTAACCACACATCCTCAGTCCCTAGATTTATCACTCGTACTGGCACTCTTCCATTTGAAGTCTCTGAATAAGAGTCTATCACCATCACATTGCGTGGTAAATTTCCATGAGGACTTTGAATTGCCTGTACTAGTACATTCGAACATCCTCGGCTTTGTCGTGTAGTACACATCACAGTTACCATGGATTCAGCTGGTACTTTTACTGGAATTCGTCCAACTTTGGCAAAACTAAGCCTGTTAACTTCTGATGTCATTTGATACATGGACAACACAACATTCCATGTGTCACACAAAAGTTCATCTTTGGTATCAGACACGGACTCCAAATGAGTTTTCAGAAGTTTGAAGAAATTACTTCCAAGGACTCCTGGTACTCGGCTCTTCCGTTCTCGACCAAAATCGTCATTGGGATCCCTCAAAACTAATACACCAACATTTGGAATTGTGACTATATCTGGGATGCTAATCTCAACTTCTGCATATCCAAGATATGGAATAGGTAGGTTGTTAGCTCCAGTCACCTTCATCCAAGAAGTAACATCATGAAGTTTTGGCTTATTATCAAGTAGACTTCTAAAAAATGTTTCTGTCACTGTTGAAATTTGAGAACCAGTGTCTAACAAACACATTGTATCTTGGTTTTCAATTTTCACTGACTTAACGGGACAAGGTCCAATTCCTTTGTCAAAAACTCTGTCACGAATGTCTGTTTGCGAGTCTTCAATTTCCACTCCTGCAGTTCGACTCTTCACTACAGAAGTTGTTATTCCCCCTGTTTATTTACATCTTGCTTGGAGTTGCTTTTCCTAGCTTCTGATGGGAAAACAGATGGACACTGATTTGCTTTATGACCCTTGCCACTACACTTGAAACATGTCACATAGTTTTTCTTAACATTGTCAATCTGTCTCTTAGGCTGTTTGGGTTCTGCACATCTTGCGGTAGAATTGAACTTTTCTGTTAGCGTCTGCAATTCTCTGCTGTGTCTGTCCAGTTGCTGTTGTTGCTTCAGTAGTAACTTCTTTATGTCTTCCAACGAATCAACTAACTGTACTTTAGCTCCTTCTGATGAACACTGTTGTGGTAGATTACGACTTCTATAATCTTCCGACCAGTCAATAACTGTCTCTCTAAATTTAGGAAAGTTCATATCCTTGAACTGATGTAAGTAACGTCTCATCTCTCTTCTCAGACTGTCATCCCGAATTCCATCAACAAATTTTTCTTTCAACATTGTGTCCTTATCGGTAATCACACTTGAATCCTTATTGTGGATCTTCTCCATAAGTTTCATCAACGCTAGTGAGTACTTTTGTAGAGTTTCACCCTGTTCTTGGTTGCGCTGGTAAAACTGCTGTTGTAGTGCTGCAATAGTTTGGTAATTAGTAAACACTGAACGTATAATGTTAAATATTTTTTCTGGAGTATCCCTTTCATTCTCTGGTCGTAAGCGTATTTCGTCCTTACATTGTCCACCAATGTTGTCGTAAATGAAATCAAGTTTGGCATCTAGTGGTTCAATTGTTTTTAAGTGTTGTTTTACATCATGAATCCACTCGCATATGTCTGGGTCATTAACACTTATAGGTCGTCCACACAGTTTTGGTATTTTCTTCTCCCTTGCTATGAAAACAGTTTTATGTTCTTCTGATTTAGCGAAACTCATGTTATGTACATCGGCATTTAATTTTTCAATAATGGTGTTTGCTTTTATTAGTTCATGTTCTAATTTTTCAGTCTTCATAGTTTGAAATGTCAATTTGGCTTTTAATTCTTCTTCCGACATGGTGATAAATAATACACTGTAAATGTCCTACCAAATAAATCTTACGTTGGTCTAGTGGTCTGTTACGTTGTGGTAGGGACAAATAGATACAGGATCTAGGGCCTAGGTGTTGCAGAATGTCATTGAGACAATGAAAACACGTGTAGTTTAACTCGTTTACTTTAACTAAGTGTAAGAACCAAAACATGCACAAGACTATAAGATCCGGATTAGTAGAATACGGAAATATAATTTCCGGATTACTTAATACATACACTACACTCCTCCCTGACTAGTATGAAAATCACATATGAAAATAAAAATGAAATAGACAGTAAACAACAAACAGTCCAATCAAAAACAATTAAGAATAACTTCACATTAAATGAACTTTACAGTTAGGTTATCATCAGTTCACAATCAGAATCTCACAAGTTAAGTTTGTCCGGCTTGTTACGAGTTCGCGGCGGATTTCGGCGTGGCTCTGGTATGGGTGTACTGGGCTCTGCATCCTTCACAATTTCCTGAGTTTTGTCGGTGGTGCAGGGAGCATTTACGGATGGCACAAACGGAATATTCACCGGAGTTGGATATGCAGGTTGATCCTTCGATGTACGTACGATCTGGTCGACGTGTCTCCTCCATAGAGTACCGTTCACATCCACCTTGTAGGATAACGGTCCTGTCCGCGAATGGATACGTCCATTTGCCCATTTCTCCGAGTTGCTGCGATAATCACGTGTGTTCACCGCGTCCCCATCTGAGAATTCTCTAATCACATTACCGCAGTGTTTTGCTGTAGAACCATATTGTTTGTGCATTACTGTCGTGGCAAGATCTGGTTTCAATATGTCAAGTCTTGTACGGATATTTCGGCCATACAACAGAATAGATGGTGACTCATTAGTGGTTCCTTGTGGTGTGATTCTGTATTTACATAGGAATGCATTCAGTTTCTTGTTTATGCACGCAGAATCTCCTGATGCTGATTTGATCGCCTTTTTAAAGGACTGAACGAACCTCTCGGCTTGGCCATTCGTGCGTGGATGGAATGGAGAAGAGGTTATATGCCTGATGGCATTCGACTCCATAAACTGACGGAATTCCTCCGAACGGAACTGAGGTCCATTGTCGGACACTATTTCTGCAGGTATCCCCTGTCGTGCGAATAAGGTCCGTAAGGTGTTGATTGTTGCATTACTTGTGGTACTCCTCATCTCAAAGACTTCCGGCCATTTCGAGTACGCATCCACAACTATGAGGAACATGGCGTTGTGAAAAGGTCCGGCGAAATCTATGTGTAAGCGATGCCATGCCTTTGGCGGAAGGTTCCATGGGTGTACAGGTGCGGCGGAAGGTGTGTTCTGCACACGCTTACATCCAGAACAAGCCTTGCAGACTTCCTCAATAGCTTCATCAACCTTGGGCCACCATACGTAAGATCTGGCTACTGCTTTCATTTTGACAATACCAATGTGGCCAGAATGAAGCTCTGTCATTACTTTCTCGCGTAAAATGTCTGGGATGATCACACGATTTCCCCAGGTAACACATCCTTGGTAAACGTTGAGTTCTTCTCTGCGATTGTAGTAGGGCTTTAACTGTTCATCACAGTCATGAGGGAAATGTCCTCGTATCACGTAGTCTAGGATTTGACTCAGAACTGGGTCACGCTGTGTTTCCCTACGAATTTGCACACAGGTAACAGGTAAGTCATCGAAATGTCTGTTGTAGAACAAATCAATAGGATCCTTTTCATCCTGTGGTTGATTAACTGCGGGTAGTGGTACACGCGACAGTGCGTCAGCATTACCATGAGACTTGGTTCCACGAAATTCAATGTCATACTGGTATCCTGATAAGAATACAGCATAGCGCTGGAGACGTGCTGCTGTCATCACAGGAAGGGACTTCTTCGGATTGAAGATGCTCAGCAAGGGTTTGTGGTCTGTGACAAGTGTAAATTTATGTCCATAAAGGTAAGAATTAAACTTTCTCACACCCCAGTAGAGAGCAAGCGCCTCCTTGTCAATCTGTGAATAAGCCTTCTCTGCCTGGTTCAATGTGCGTGACGCAAAAGCTATGGGTCTTTCGGAGCCATCTGGAAACACATGGGAAAGTACCGACCCAATTCCATAAGGCGAAGCATCTGCAGCTAGTTTCAAGGGTAGCTTGGCATCATAGTGGCACAGAACCTTGTCAGAGCAAATGGCGTCCTTTATTTCATTGAAGGCCTTATCTCGCTTAGCATTCCATTCCCATCTAGTTCCTTTGTTAAGGAGTTCATGAAGTGGTCCTGCTTTACTGGAAAGGTTGTCTAAGAATCGGTGATAATAGTTCACTAGGCCAAGAAATGACCTAAGTTGGGAAACATTCTCAGGTCGCTGGGCATCCTTGACAGCCTCAATTTTGTCAGGTGACTTGTGTAGGCCACTAGCATCGATTTCATGCCCCACGTAGCTCACCTTAGCTTGGAAAAATTCACATTTCTGAAGGTTTACATGTAGTCCATACGATTGTAGACGGTCAAGTACGAGTTTCAAGTTGTGTAAGTGTTCCTCATCAGTGCGACCAGTAACAATAATGTCATCAATGATCACTTGCGTTGATGGTATATTCTGTAGTACTTGCTCAATTGCGCGTTGCCATAGAGCTGGGGCAGATGCAATTCCGTACGGAAGTCGCTTGTATTTAAACAGGCCCTTATGAGTGTTTATGACGAGTAGATCCTGCGAATCTTCATCGAGCTCCATGTGATGATATGCTTGTGTTAAGTCCAGTTTTGAGAAGTTCTTTCCACCAGCTAGGGTTGCAAAGATGTCCTCAATTTTGGGAAGAGGGTATTTTTCGACGCACATTACAGGATTTACTGTTACCTTATAATCACCACACAGTCTGACGTTTCCATTCTTCTTAATGGCTGGGACTATGGGGGTAGCCCATTTACTATGTGCGACAGGCTCTATGATTCCATCTGCCTGTAGTTGATCAAGTTCTTGTTCAACCTTTGTCCTCAGTGAGTAAGGAACAGTTCTCGCCTTAAGAAACACAGGTTTGGCTCCAGGATCAACTGTAACTGTCCCCTTAATGTGCTTAAGAGTTCCGACTCCTGGTGAGAACAGCTCGTTGTGCGAGTCAAGTAGATCCTTCAAGGTTGGCGGGTGTGTTGCAACACTAGAGCGTAAAGTCTTAATCTCCTGCCAGTTGAGCTTTAGCTTTCCAAGCCAGTCTCTTCCTAGTAAAGCTGGTCCATCATGTGGAACAACAAGCAGTTCGAGGTTAGCAGATTGTGAGTTAAGTTGAACATTCACCTTCATTTTGCCCAGGGGTTGAATTGTGTCTCCCGAATATGCACGCAGTAATTCACTTGATGGTTCAAGGTTTACGTTACCAAAGTTTGCACTGTAGTCACTCTTAGAAATCACGGAAACAGCTGTTCCTGTGTCGACCTCCATCTTGATGACTTTTCCTTCAATAATTGGTTGCACAGTTATTGGTGGCTCATGATGTGACTTCATGTGGAAAGTGCTTGTGATGTGTAGAAGTGGTTCTCCATTAACCTCCGTGTAGCGTTCTTCAGAGTGAGATTCCTCCTCATTATAGAATAGGGAAGTGTTACGTCCCTTGTTTCTGTCACGTTTCTTCTTCATACAAGCTCGCTCAATGTGTCCCACCTTCCGACAGAAAGAGCAGACAGTGTTAGTGTGTCGACACTGCGATGCTGGATGATCACCATCACAACGATAGCATGAATGTTTCTGTGTTGTCGATCGTGCGTGAGGTTGAGGGTTTGCGTTTCTCACTGTAGGCTTCTTGTTGAATTGTCGGGGTTTCGGACGTGTGCTGATTTTGTTGACTGTTTCACTCTTTCCCCCCTGTACTTCAGCTGCATCTCTCGCTGCCGTTTCCATAGCTACCGCCAGGTTGATAGCTTTTTCCAGGTCAAGGTCTTTCTCTGAAAGTAGCCTCTTCTGTATAGTTTCTTGTCGTAAACCAACCACTAGTCTGTCACGTAATGTGTCACTTAAAGCTGCCTCAAACTGACAATGGGTTGCCAAATTACGAAGTTCTGCCATGTACGACAAAACGGACTCATCTGGGCGTTGATTGCGCTTATGAAATCGGAACCGCTCGGCAATGACCGATGGCTTGGGGCTCAAGTGTTCACGCAGTGCTTTCAAAAGGTCCTTAATGCTTTTTTCTGTAGCCTTAGCAGGAGCAATCAAGTTTTTCAGAAGTGTGCAAGTCTTTGGACCAATTAAGCTTATCAATGCAGGTACCTTGTGGTTATTATCAATGTCATTAGCGAGGAAAAATGCCTGTAGTCTCTCCTCATACGACTCCCATGATTCAACCGAATCATCAAATTGCTCGATTTTGCCAATGTGTGGCATTGTTAACGTACTTACTCCTCGTCGCCAGTTGTTACGTTGTGGTAGGGACAAATATAGATACAGGATCTAGGGCCTAGGTGTTGCAGAATGTCGTTGAGACAAAGAAAACACGTGTAGTTTTTACTCGTTTTATTTAACTAAGTGTAAGAACCAAAACATGCACAAAACTATAAGATCCGGATTAGTTGAACACGGAAATATATTTTCCGGATTACTTAGTACATACACTACATGGTCCGAAACAGCTCTTCACATCATATCGTCACTGAACCATTAACTCTCATGTTGATAATGGAGACCTAAATTATGCACATCACACTGCCATATAATCCGAGTTAACCATTAACTTATCCTGTCCACGACGCCATTTGTGATAACCAGATTTGTTCTTTTATAAGTTTATTAATTATGAATATCCATGATATTACAAATTATAATGGTAATGATATTGGCAGTAATAAATGACAGTGTGCTGTACAAATGAAAAATAAGAAAAACATGACATTACTTACAAATGTAAATTCACATGAATATTATATGAAGCATTACTAAAAAAATATGAATAAAAATAATTTTACAAAATATGACGGACAGTTGACCTTTCCATTATAAAGATTTATAACATATTACACTCATAATTAACTCATGAATAAAATATATAACATGCTTTCATATAAATCTTACCCCAACTAGGGCCTCAATGCATAAACTCAGGTCAAGGTCACCGTCGACCACAGTGATACTGTATAACCTAACCAAAAATCAATATACCTATATGTTACCTCTAATTGTAGTTGTAAACAACAACAAAAGTTTATCTCGTAAAATAATTTTAAACTTCTTCATAACAAAAGCCTAGTAAACATCACTAGAAATAAAATGAATAGCCAATATGATATGGAACGTTTATCAACAAAACATGCTGAACTTATTCTATTAAAATAAATATTTTCAGACTTTACAAATATTAAAATAACCCTACCAAAACATACTTTACTATCATGAGCAAAGCTATATTTAAAAAAATGTAAACTTACAGTTGGTACACCTAGCTAGAGATATAATTCAGCTTCAACAACGTTACAGTTCAACACACAGCCTTCATAGCGCGAAACATTTCGTGCAAAATCATAAACTATGAAGTCACGTGTTCACAGGAAGTGATGTTGAAATTATCAAAATATTAAACAATACATTTAAATAAAAACTTATGTGTATTTTCCATCATTATTTGAAAAATGACAATGACAAAAATTATTTTAAATGAAAATCTTCAAAACTTTAGCTGAACAGAATTTCTGTTACTAAAAATAGATGTGGAAATTACCCTCAATGACAAACAGTGTATGAAAACAAAGAGAGATAACTCTATTGTAAAAATCACCACATCACATAATATTTATTAGCTCTGAATGTAAGAGAAGTTAACAAATTTAATAATTATTACTTAAATCTATGAAAAAAATACACTTCAATCTTTTTGAAAAGCCATCCTGTCACACTCACGAGATAAATTCCACATCCAATTAAAAACGCTGAATTTCCACTACTGGGTTTTCTTAGGAGCTGGGGGTAACTTTATTCTGTCTCATTCTTAATGATAAAAAGTGTGAGTCTAATGAATTTCATAAAAGAGGGCGACGATGCTGAACGAAATTAAAGGGTGTCAGGTCATTTCTCTCAATTTTTTTTTTCTCTCCCAGGTTATTTCTCTCTCCTACCATTTCACGGAAGGTCATTTCACGGTAGGTCATTTTTCAGAGAGCTACAGTTCTGCAGCTAATTCCATTAGAAAGAAAGACAGTAAGTCTTAGAATTAATGAATAAAAATAAATAATCATGTGCTTCTGTCCTTTTCAAAAGCTAGTTCAGGATTGTATAAATTGATTAATTAATACAAAAAATTACTAAATATGGGATTAATTAAATTATAAAGGACTTCTAAAAAAATAATTATTCAAATAAATGAGTGAATGCATAAATGTTTAAATCATGAATAAAATAAACAATAAATGCGTGAAGTCATAGATAAATAAAAAAAAAAAATACATGTCTGAATTAATGAATAGATAAATAAGATGAAATAAAATAAATAAAGTTACCGTAAAATTCAGCGTGGTAATTAACAAAAAAAATTAAACTTATTACATTGTAATTTTTGTGTTGGAGTGAAATGACCTAGGTTGTGGAGAGAAATGACCTGGGTAATGGAGAGAAATGACCCAGGAGAGAGACGACTTGGGCGGAAATGACCTAGGCGGAGCAGGTACTGGGGAGAAATGACCCGGATTCCGGTGTCAGGTCATTTCTCTCTAATTTTTTTTCTCTCCCAGGTTATTTCTCTCTCCTACCATTTTACGGAAGGTCATTTCACGGTAGGTCATTTCTCTCTCCTAAATGGGTCATTTCACCCCATTTTTAATCTGGTCTTATATAATTATTTATATTTCCATTCTTGTGTTATTAATCTTTTGTCTCGTAAAATAAATTAATTTTATCAATTTATGACCAATAAAATTCAAACGAGAGAATGTTTCGTAACTTTATTTACAGTGGAAAATTTAATATTTGATATAAATGAGGCTGGGGGTGGCAGCCATTTTCAGATTATTTCTATCTCCTTAAAAAGAAGAGCTCCATATAAAGATATACAAAAATGATAAAATTTTAAAACTAAAATGTATTAATTTTTTCTTTGCCAAATGATAGTTGACAGCTTAAGATACCATATCTAAAATAACAAGTTAAATCTGGTGGTTAATTTGTGGTTAATTTATTGACCCCCCAGCCTCCTTAATGAAAATAAATTGATACTATTGTCCAGCCCTAACTACGTGGAGGCCTCCTCTGTTAAGAGTATTAATTTTGAAAGAGAATTTTAAACTCGATTAAAATAAATTAATTTTGTTAAAATAATTAATTTTTACCATAGCTGATGATGAAGTTTTGTCTATAATCTGAATATCATATAGATACTGATCAAACTCGAATCTTAAAAAAATAACACAAAAATTTGCTTTTATTGATCGATTTTGTTTGGCGATACAAATACGTTGGAATAAAAAATAAAACAGTTTTAAATTATAATATGTCAATTTTGATCTTAGGAGAAAAAAGGGAGAAAATAGACATGACATAAAATAATAGCTGCAGAACTGTAGCTCCCCGAAAAGAAATATATTGACAGACCGGTTCAATACATCTTATTTTAGGAAAACTACAGTTGTGCAGCTAAAAAATAGATAATTTTTAGAAAACAAGGATACTTCAAAATATATATTATGAAATCAGATACACAAGTAAAAGTATGGAAATATTTACCAATATTTATTTTGAATAATTGTATATTATAAAACTATAAATAATAAGAACGCGAAGAAAATAATGACGTAAAAATGCTATAAATATGAAAAAACCTAAAATGGAATATTTTCAAGGTATACAAGATTAACAAAGTAGCCAAACCACATGAATTAATGGGAATGAAACAACGGAAAAAAAACTTTTAAAAATGAATTATAAGGCATCGAAAAGGATTTTTTAATACGTATTTTATCCATTGTTTTATTGTTATACCAGAGATTATAAATTTTAAGTACAAACAAAAATATTCCAACTATAATTAACACAAACTTGAACTAGCTTTTTGAAAGGGCAAAGACATATGACTCGATCTCATGTTAGCTAGAATGATCTTTCGACTGATCAATACTTCCGTTTTCTTATCAAGGAGACATTCGTGAGGTCTTTTACATGTATGCACATACATATTTACGCAAGAGAAAATATTGCAGAAAAAATGTTTGTAACAATCGGGACATTTTGAATTAAAAATCCATGCATCAGTACATCAATTTTACGTTCTTATAATAATAAAACATGTTAATGGTGGGGGGGGGGGGGCTTCCACTGTTGAACAGAGAAAACATGTAATTTGGGGGAAAAATGAAATCTAAAAACGTTAAAATTTACTTGATTGTGAAAATGCATACATTTAGGATAAGTCATCTTGCCTAAAAATTGTGATCGCTAGGAAGTATTACAGTTCATGTAATTGAGTTTGTATTCAATGTAATAATCAAAGAACTGAAAGTACTGAAAAGCGGTTAGCATGCTTTCATCTAAAAAGTACAGAAAAAAGTGCATGAAATGATGATATTTAAGTATGCATATCTCTGTCCAATGTCATCAGAGAAAAAAGAAACAGACATTCTGTTTTTGTAATACTTTACTTAATAGTAAAACCAATAACATTCCAAACTGATGTCACAGATGGATGCAATCTAATTAAAATTAGATGTTCCGAATCCGCTACTGCTTCTCAAAGATATAACAACATCCTATTTAGGGTCATGTAAGAGTGAATCTTCGATTAGCCAAAGTTCGGTTCCTCCGAAATCTTGGCTTATAGTTCAGATGGGTTTCTTGTTTTCTTCCAGAAGAACCAAAACACCCAGGAAGTTTTGTAGTAAATATGCATTGCAAAAGCTGTGTTATGTATGACGTGTGGGGTATCTTGTATAGTTTGTGCTCTTTCGTTTGCATTATTCACGTTCAGATGCCAGACTGCAGACTATACATGAAATTTATTCCAAATTTACTTTAATTCAACGTAAGACAGTATTGATAATGAATGATATGTAGCCGTGGAATTAATTTGAGAATTGTTTACCGAGGCTTGAATCTGCATGGCCAAAGTGTTTGTTTACTAGTGCATGTATTCATAATTGAAAGGTCGCTCTGATGTGACCCCGAATGGGATGTTAGATGTTTGAGAAGCGGTAGCGGATTTGGAACATTTAAATAAATTTTAATTAGATTGAAATGCATGTTTCAAAATTTAAACATGAGATTTCTTCAGTTTGAAAGACAGGAAGTGCTTTTTTAAAAGTTCTCTCTTTGTGGCATCCAATCGTTCTCTGGATGAAAACAATTATGTTGATGTTGAAAATTTAATTGTCTTTCATGCTCTATTGAATCTGAAATAAGGTAATTGTAAAGCCTACTATAGCAAACAACTAAAAAATGACAAGTTAAATTCTTTAGATTAATGGATTTTGGAGTAGTGTAGATCTACAGCTGGCTAGTAAGAGAAAAAATGATGGCTGGGCAGAGACTTTGTAAATGAATTGATATCAGAGATCTCCAGATGTGTAGGCTCACTGCGGGTGTAACCTGTCAACGAGGGATGCTTACTTCTTCTAGGCAACGGATCCCACCTCTTGAACTTT